AGACAGTGGTTTGCCAAAATTCCGAAAGAAGACAACAAAGTACCTTAAATGTTATCGTTCTGCAATGCTTTGGTATTTGTTGTTTAGCATGTCATTCTCCGAATGCTTCAGTTCTTTCATAGGGCTCCACCATCCCAGTTGATCACCCAAAAATCACCCCACTGTCCCATGGATTTTCCCATGCCCAGAATGCAATATCCCCATGAAACAAATGATATAAACATCCCCATGAAATATCCTCATTATATGTATATATATATATAAATTTTATTTGTTTCCCCATGATGCATCCCCTGCTGAAATATCCCATGATATTAATGATATATATATATATATATAAGAAAAACTGGTGGTTTTATATCCCCCTGGTAACACAAGAGGACTTGGTGAGCTCGTCAGGTCGTCAGTGAGGAGGATTTGTTCATGGCTACTGGGCAGATGGGGTAGACCAAAGCGGAAAAAATGGGACGGCTTAGGACTTAAGAAACGTGTATGGAGTGGTTGAACTCAAAACCTCAATACAACAAACCCATATAAAATCATATAAAAACCCATATAAAAAACATGTAAAACCATATGAAACCCATATAAAACATATAACGTGATATAACATCATATAACATCATATAAAATCATATAAAATCTATGTCTATATACATATTTATATCAATTTAGTCGTAGAAACAAGACACATTTACAGGCCAATGAGAGTTGTGTTTGCTTAAATTTATTCGATGATTGTCGACACACATTTAGATATGATAAGTCTACTATAATGGTGGGCTAACGGTGGTATAATGGGGATATTTGGTATGACAGGATAGTGAGGCTTGTAGCCATGTTAGCTGGACAACTCATCGATGCCTTGGTTCAGAGCATTCCTGGTGTCATCAATCATGTTTGCGCCACTGCAGAGTGGGGCGGAACTTAGATGGCAATTTTTATCAGATACTACCCTCTAGTAGACTAACATAGCCATGGAAAATCACCATTTTTAATAGGTAAATCAACTACAAATGGGCAATGAATGTTCAATAGCTATGTTAATTTATCAGATATTACCCTCTGCTCATTTAACAGTTTGCTATGGGGTCGTTTTGGTTTACCTATTATTAAAATGGTGTTTTTTTTGTCATAGCAAACTGTAGAATTGCCAGAGAGTAGCCATCAAAATATGGATTTGGCGATTAAACCATTGGACATATGAGGGAAACATATGATTTGATCATCAAACATGATGGTTTAATAAACTAAACTGGATTTTTTGGCTAGACTCGACAATGGCACTTGGAAAATTGATGAACTTTGGCCAAACAAAAAGTATATCAATGTATCACATATGTGCCATGATCAATTGGATTGTATACCCTTTTTTGGGGATGGTCATCAATCCATTCACTTCGGGATTCCCATGGCATGAGATGGACGACCATACCACATTGGTCCCGTATGTAACTTGACCATGGCACATTGGTCAGATAGGTTGGTCAGTGTTTTACAAATCGGCTACCCTCTGGTAAACTAACATAGCTATTGAAAATTGCCATTTATAGTGAGTTGTCCCATTAAAAGTGGTGATTTTCCATAGCTATGTTAAATTGCCAGAGGGTATAAATGGATTATGAATGGAGAATCACGGTTGCATTGAGTTATATGGCGTGCTAATCAGATTTCACATGATATTACCCCTATGATGCCACAATTACTAAAACTTAAGTTGGGGGCATTTCATACTAAATGGATTCATTACCATTCATTACCATTACTAATACCATATTTCCATATATTACCATATTACCATATATTACCATATTTTACCATATATTACCATATATTACCATATTACCATACTAAATGGATATTAATATTACCATTAATATTATCATATTACCATAACAAAAATCCTTAAGATACCTCCGTCATGGTCCACCATGGTCCACCGAGGTGGTGAATGCTTTGGGCCGTACGGAGCGCCCAGATCCTACGGAGAGCGATTTCGGTACGATGCGACCGGAGTGAACCCCAAGAATCTGGGTTAATATGGGTTATTATGGGTTAATGGTATATATAATGGGTTATATAATGGGTTCATATAATGGTTAATCATAACCATTAATCTGGGTAAATTATAACGAAAAGATCTCCTGTACCTAAGCGCCATGGATTTGGCCACACGTAAGGCCAAAGCTTCAGCTCGACAGACCGGGTTTGCAAAAGCCCCTACCCCCATCACCGACAACAAGCGAAAATTATCTGAGATGAATGAAGAGACAGACACGAACTTTGCAGAGATCATTGACTCAGTGATTAATGACAGTTTTGTTGACGAAGTGTCCTGGCTAGATTCATCAGATATTGGCCTTGACGAGAAGTCGAGGATTCATGCTGCCAAGCCTCTGTATGAGTCATTGCACCCAGGATTCAACCCAGAGGTGATGGCCACAGTGGCGGGGGCTCTTGATGTATCCACAGGGGTGGTTGACACGACTCAAATCAAAACATTGAATGCGAATCACCATACTGCCTGGTATGTTGAATCGAAGAACACAAGCGAGGCTATGGTTTCCATGGCTGGGACGGTAGTCAAGATGGCCTTTGTTGATGCCTCGATGACTTCGGCACATCTTGAAAGAGAAGTTGCTTCGAAGGCCAAGGTCTGGGATCCGGCGGTGAAAGTGAAGTTCTACCTGATCAGAGCCTACATTCTCTGTTTGAATCTTTTTCAGACGGGCACCAACAAGGATGTGAAGTGGCTCACTGATGCAGATCAAGAAATCACCGGGGATTTTCAAACCTTCTCAAAGGTTGCAAAGACTTGTTTGACGACCGCATTCATCAAGGGTGTGCAGTTTCTCTTCTTTTTGCGGTCCTTGAACCATTATCGTTCTAGACACACAACTCTCGGAGACTTACTACCTTTGCCTCAGGTTGTGGCCATCTCGGCTGTGCTAGGGATCCAAGGGACTAAGACTGAGTTGGCAGAACATGATCAAGCGCTACATCACTTGGTTGTTTTACACAGCTGTCCATGCATGTGACCCAGCTACTTATCTGACAATGGCTCTGCCAAAGTTGGGAGTGAATCTCAGCTACAATCAAAGAGTCGTTATGTCTGAGCCTCGCCTGGGCAATTACGAGAAAATTCGATCTGCGGCATTTCCTGCAGGGACGGCAATTGTGGTGTTGGCTTACCAGTTTGTCCTCCGGCTTTTGGAGACTGGGCATGTCATCATGGTGGGGCAGCCTGACCTGATCATGGAAGCTCTATCTATGTTCAATATCGTCAAGAAAAGTGGTGCATCTGCTCACGTGGATGCCGCATATTATGGCAGGGTACCGGCTTCCATAGATACGCAGAAAGTCGCAGAGCTCCTTCCCTTCCTCAAATCATACTCGGAAGTCTTGGGTGGATGTAAGACCCTTGCCGCAAGCCCAAGAATCAGGAGCAGTGACATGAACAGGGCACCACAAGATTTCGAAGACCGCTTGACCGCTTTGAAAGCAACAATGGCTTCCGAGGAGCTGAGTGCAGCCATCCAATTGATCACAGGATCGATTCCGACGAAGCAATTGATGCACTTGGGAGGTCTTTCTAAATTGTACCGAGCAAATAGATCAGGATTTGCTGGTATAGACGATCAGAACAAGGTGCTAGTTGAAGAAGGTGGGGCACAAAAGGCAATTGAGATTGAAGAGCTTAACGAAGAAGAGTTGACGAAACTTGCAAAGGAGATTAAAGAAAAGGAGTCGGCACGAGAAAAAAAAAAGGCTGCAAAAGCTAAGGCATCAGGAGCATCTCCACAGGTCCCTTCCTAGTGATGCCAAAAGAGGACCGATGATTCACACATGAGAGAGATCTGGCTGGGCTGTGAGTGTCACAACGCTCTTTTGAGAGACATGTGATAGCAAATGATACCGGTGAAGTTGTTATTGTTTTTATTTTACAGTTTGCAGGCCCTGGGAAAGAAAACATGTGATTTCAAAAAGGACATATATTGCTATTGCATGAGCTCATACGTCAAATCTTGGTCTCAGCAAGTGCAGGTCTTGAAGACAGGAGAAGTTGAGTTTTCCATGAAATCGTTATGCTATCATTGCAGTTATAAAAAGATTGTATTGTTGCACTATCCATGCAAATTCATCTCTCAGGAAAGCTCAAGCATCTTGGCGTCCCTTTTCATTCTGACTTTGCCTTAATCTCACCTGGTTTAATCCCGCTCCTCACCAAAATTGAGGTAGTACCTGAACCATTTTTTGACACCCACCTGGTAGTTATCTTGGAATTTCAGATGCCAGATGCTCCCTTAAAAACTTTGAAATTTCCCATGCCAAAAAGTTTCATGGAGTTACCCTTAAATCTGGAATTTTTCCCAAAAGGATATGATGAAGCCATTGCCAAAAAAGGCGTACCTACCACAATCGAAACTTGGGGTAAAACAATTGAATTGGCTACAGATAAGGCACTCCGATATACCCAGATGCAGAATGAGAATATCCCTTTTAGCCACACGCAAGGACTGCCGAAACCTTTTCAAGGCAGATGCCAACCACGCAGGCCGAAACAATGTGCTATGGAATCTTTAACCCGACCGGGTAGACCTGGAGACTATAACCCGAATTTAGAGATTCATTCCCATTCCACCGCCAAAAAGGTTAAGCAGACCAGACGGCTCGACAGCCTGTGCCGAGGTCTCAAGAAAAACTCAGCAGACCCGACGCACCAGGCCATTCTGTTGCAAGAATGGCGAGCCGCTTTGCGATGCCAAGGTTTTAGGGGAAATTTTGTTAAATGGGCCCAGACACACCCAGAAATTGGCCCTTTGCCATGGACACTCCCAACATATGCCCAAGCATATGCCTTGTACCAGTTGGTTCGGCATGAAACTGCAATCGCCGTCCAATACGATAACACAGTTTGGAAAAGAAAAGTGCAATATAAACGCCATTTAGACACCAGCCAAGGGGGCCATAAAGACGCTTTTGCCAAGCTGAAAGGAGCCATGCAAACCCCACTGACACAACTACGAAGCACCGAGACCAGAGAAGCCATCGTAGTTCCAGAAGGTGAGACGCTGACACTCTATGCAGACCACTGCAAAGCCTTCACCAAGGATGATCAGCTGGAGATAGCCAACGTGCCATGCAAAGTGATACACATTGCAGAGCATTTTGTACAGGTCAAGCCGCACAGCACTGCAGACTGGCCTGCTGAAGCCACCATACATCAGCACCAAGCACATACAACGCCTGAAGACATGTGCCAGGCTTTAGACGCCTATTGGACGCAGTTTTGGACAAAGCAGCCAGACCCGCCACCAAGTGACCTTGGGGATATCCTGCAATATGTGCCTAGATATAATATCCCAGCTTGCCCATTAGATGTAAATCTTTGGCACCAAGCCATCAAAGCACTGAAGCCTCACAGCGCTAGGGGTGTTGACTGTATCTCCGCGCAAGAACTGAAGGTCCTTCCACATAGGGCAATTGAAGACCTGATGCACATTCTGGCTACATACACTTCGGGTTTTCCATCATGGCTGATGTGGGTGAAAACTTGTCCAGTTCCTAAGAAACCCGGATTAATAGACCCCTCTTTAGTCCGCCCAATTAGTGTCATGTCCCAACTATACCGCTTATGGGCCCGAGTTCAATGCCGTCATGTCATCCAACACCTGTCGCAAAAAATCACTCCAGAAATTACAGGGTTCCTACCGTCCCGAGGGCCCTATGATGCTATATATGAGTTTCAATGGTTGCTTGAACAGGCCCATAATGGGCAAGGACACCGCTCAGGTATTTCCATTGACCTCCTTAAATGCTTCAACACAATCGACAGAGAGGCAGCTCAATCCACCATGCTGCACGTAGGCATTCCCAGAACTCTGGTTAATCAATGGTATACTTCACTCCAAGAGGTCACACGATCTTGGACACTAGGCCCCTTAATAGGTCCAATTTTACATACCTCTAGAGGCTGCCCTGAGGGAGACCCCCTCTCAGTACTGGTTATGGTTCTGATTTCCACATGTTGGATTGCGTATATTCACAGGCATACAGACGATGTAACAATGGGGGCATACGCTGATAACTGGGGATGGATGGCCAAACACCCCCAGGCTCATGCCAGCGTCCTCAGACATACTAGTTCTTTTGTAGGGGCGTACACCATGACCATAGATTGGAAGAAAAGCTGGATCTGGATGACACACCAGTCCCACCTACCACCCTTGAAAAAAGCGTTACGGGACCTGCTTGGACCCAATGCTGTCGCCACACTGATGCAAGCAATGGATCTTGGTGGGCAATTAACATATAGGGGTCCCCCCAAACTTGGAAAAGTCAGCCAGAGGCTGTCCGAAGCCGAGCGTAGACTTAGACAGTTGCAGCACATGCCACACGATGCCCGTAGCAAAAGTATGCTGGTCACTATGGGCATCTATCCCCAAGTTTTTTATGCGTCTGCCATAATCCCAATTGGCCGGCAGCATACAGACAAACTGAGGTCCAGCATTGCTGATGCAATTTTAGGCCCATCAGTTAGCCGAAACTCAGCCATAGCTATCCAATGCCTGCCGAAGCTCCAAGACCCAGAGCTGGTCTTGACACAGAATGCTATTGACATGGCTCACAGGTTCCTGCACAGATGCACTCCAAAAGATGCGCAGCTGTTTCTGCGTATTGCCTCACAGCACTCAGGAATTTCCTACGAATGCAAAGGCCCGGCGGGCTGTCTTAAGTTTTACCTTAGCCGAATGGGATGGGTAATTGATAAGCTAGGTAATATCCAGGTAACAGCCTTTTTGCGCCTTAACCTTTTCACAACCAGTAGGCAATGCTGGAGGCGCCTCCTCCAAAAAGAGTGGGAAACCCAATTGCTGCCCAGATTTTCCGACCGAACAGCCTTAAAGGGTTTGCCCCCTATTAATAAACTTGACACCACTGCAGTCATGCGGCAGTTTCCCAGGCAGGACTGGAAAACTTTGTTGAACGAAATTTCAGCAGCATATCAAACCGCCGCACAGCAGGCAGTCTGGGACACTTCCACCAGCCCCAACTGCTCCAACTGTCAGGTTTTGGATACTAGGGAGCATAGGTTATTTCACTGCACGTTGGTCGTTGGTTGAAGATATAAGGGCACAATACCCACTCACTTTCCAATGGATGCAAAATGAGGGAACATACTGGCACGAGCTACCAGTCATACATACGCACTCGCAGGCCGAATGGCTACACCTCTGCAATTGGACTCACACAGAGCCTGACATCCAGCCAGGTCTCTACCAGGCAGTCCACGCGGTTGACATGCAGGGAGCGCCACTGAGTTTCTATACAGACGGGTCTTGTCAATTTCCAGCGCACCCCAATGAAAGCTATTCCACATATTCGGTTATCATAGATACAGCCACAGATGATGCAGAAAGAGAACAGCATGCAAAGCACTATGCAACAGGACAGCACATGCCATGCACTCTTTGTAGCCTTGCGGTTGCTCGCACCCCAGGTGAGCAACGCATCCACCGAGCAGAGTTATATGCCATAGTGTACATATGTGAGCGTTTCCAAAACACCATAGTGCACACAGATTCTGCGGTCACCCTAGCCGCCATACGTAGATGCCAAAATACCAGTAACCCTGACACCCTGCATGATATGGAAGATTTAGACCTTGTTTTGCGCCTTTGGGTGACACTCCATACAGGCAACAGGCAATTCCTGAAGGTCAAAGCACATGCGGAAGAGGATTCGCAGGTTCCGTGGCTGACACTTTATCACCGACTGGGAAACAAGCGCGCGAACGACGTTGCCATCACAGCCAATGAATTCCTGTTGGCGCCACTGGTTCAAGAGATGCAGGACATGCATAAGGACCTTGCAGCTCAACGCCATCACTTGGCACAATTGTTGCGCTACCACCTGGAAGTGATCCGCAGACATGCTGAACTTAAATTCATCAAACAGCAAGAGGAAGCCACCACACTCCCAGAGCAGGCACTGCCTACCAGACAGGCGGTTTTCCACAAGCTTTGCCAATACCAGGCTGACCCTTGCTGGAGCAGAGTGGCCCCTCAAGTCCAGGAGCTGCGACATTGCACTTGGGGGCCAACACTGACAGCCAAGCTACAAGACTGGTGCAATCAGATAAGATGGCCAACTAATCGGACAGACGATGAAATCCAAAATGCAGGCTTGACTTGGATCGAAATGGTTTTGTCCTTTATGATTTTTGCCAGATGCTTTCTTCCAGTGAAAAGACCAGGACAAGAGGGAGTCATGATGCTGACTCCCATACAGTCTTTTGCAGCTCTGAAAGCCTATGATGTTAAGTTGTCAGAACTCGCTAATCTTTTCGCAATTTTTTGTAAGCAACTGCAAGATCTCCAAGATACTCCGATTTTTCCGGAGGTTGAGCGTGGACTGGTGCGCAGCCTTTACATCCAAGGGGCTGCGTTTTTCAGCAGTGGATTCCGGATACGGGCAGTTGTGCCGTTTCAAACTGAGGTTCTTTCGAGCTTGCAACCATACTTACTTCGCCACAGAGGCCGGGCATTTGTGGATATTCCTGAATTCCCCATTGAACCGGACGAGGCCATGTTTCTGCAGGTTAAGAGCGAACTCAGGCAATCCTGGGACAGCAGAACTGCCATGACACATAAAGCTGCACGACGAATCACGGACTGGTATTCCCTCCATGAGGGAGGATGGAAGTGGTGAAAGGCACCAGCTTCACTTAGGTCAGGCTGGCGACCCTCCCGACGCGAGGAAAAGGGTAAATTATAACGACCTCCCTGCGACCTCACTGGAATCATGGTTAGTAAGGGAAATCATCCCCAAATGGCCTTAATTCAGGTTGGTGAAATATTATAATTTACCCAGATTATATATATATATATACTATACCCCAAGAATGGTGATATAATCTGGGTTAATAGAATGACTATGAATTACTATTCAACAATGATTAATGGTGATATAATTGTTATACCCCAAGAATAATGGGTTAACTTCAATTATTTAATAATGGTACAATGGGGATAAAGTGGGGTGATGCTTGGTGGTGTCAACAAAAATGACATGTGTCAACCATAGAAATGGAATGATTATCCCAACTGACATAGACAGATTTTTGTTCAGAAGGAGTGAACTCAACAACCAGGGTGAGTGTTTCCTTCAACCAGTCCCCCGCATGAGCAGTGTTCAAAGCCCCTGTTGATGCTTGGTTCGGGGGTTATACAGTTATACTATCCAAATCTATCCAATATATGGATATATTCACCATATTATCCCCTATATATTTATATATAGTAATATATATATATGGATATAATTACAATATAATAATGTATCCGTCGGCTATACTATTATCAGAATCCACTATCAAAATTCCTATATTAACCAGCCGGCAGAAAGGGACGACGTCGCGGGTTTTGAGGTGTTGGCTGGATGGATGGCACTCTGCGCGAGGCTCTGCATGGCAAGGACTTCAGGCCCGCACAAACCATCGACTGTGCCAAATGTTGACCGATGCCCGACTTCCCAGAATCGCGTGGTCGCTTTGCAAATCATATTTAAATATATTTAACACATTTCCGAATTTTGATCTAAGGTTGGCAAAGCAATAATAAACCATCCCCCAATTTTACCTTCTTTATAGGTGGTAAGTATAAATCATTCCCAGTCGTGGGTGGTTTATGATATTGTTTTACCCACATTAATAGTAATCACATGTAATCACCATTAATAACCATTAGTAACCATTAATCACCATATATAGCCATTAATCACCATATATAGCCATTAATAACAATTAATCACCATATATAGCCATTAATAACCATTAATCATCATCATGTTTCGCCCACGGTTTCAAGTTGCGCAGGTACCTTTCAGTGCATGCCCAGGCCACCTTTGGTTTGCAGGCCACCTGGGGATTGGGGAATCAGCCCAGTTCTATCCAGTTATATATTGATATATCTACGATATATATATATATATAATCTCGATGGCATACATAGAATACAGAATCGATAATTTCGGCCTCCAGAAGCATCTTCCGGAATCGGTCAAAAAAACCTATACATAGAATAAAAGCATCTTCCGGAATCGAAAAAAAAAACCTATACATAGAATATTTCCGGCTATCCATTTTGATCAGGGAAAAAAAAAAATCTCAGGTTTTGCTGGATTTCTGCAGCCGCCCGTGATTCAAGCATCACCCGAAATGACCAGTTTCTTTTTATATTGTATTAAAAAAATGAGTTTTTCAGGCTCACCGAAGGGTACCCCCCACGACTGGTGTCGTAGAACGATGAAAAAAAAATATTTTGCAATGAAAACCAATGGAATTCGGTGGTGATCCTCAAAAAAATGATTCATATGTTCACTGGGGACCTATATTCTATGTATGTAGTTCTGCAAGGAATTGGGTCTCTTCCATGTATAAGGGTATGTATCATATCCGTAATTCCCTTTGGCAAGTAGCAACCCTGGATGTCTGAAGTTCCTAAACTACAACGTTTCAACAAAAAAACAGGTCACTTGTATTAAAAAAATGAGTTTTTCAGGCTCACCGAAGGGTACCCCCCAAGATTGGTATCGTAGAACTATGAAAAAAAACTATTTTGCAATGAAAACCAATGGAATTGGGTGGTGTTCCTAAAAAAAATGATTCATATGTTCACTGGGGACCTATATTCTATGTATGTAGTTCTGCAAGGAATTGGGTCTCTTTCATGTATAAGGGTATATATCATATATATATATATATAATTCCCTTTGGGGAGTAGCAACCCTGGATGTCTGAAGTTCCTAAACTACAACGTTTCAACAAAAAAACAGGTCCCCCGAAATGACCAGTTTCTTTTTATATTGTATCAAAAAAATGAGTTTTTCAGGCTCACCGAAGGGTACCCCCCACGACTGGTGTCGTAGAACTATGAAAAAATAACTATTTTGCAATGAAAACCAATGGAATGGGGTGGTGATACTCAAAAAAATTGATGAATATTTTCACTTGGGACCTGTATTCTATGTATGTAGTTCTGCAAGGAATTGGGTCTCTTTCATGTATAAGGGTATGTATCATATCCGTAATTCCCTTTGGCAAGTAGCAACCCTGGATGTCTGAAGTTCCTAAACTACAACGTTTCAACAAAAAAACAGGTCCCCCGAAATGACCAGTTTCTTTTTATATTGTATTAAAAAAATGAGTTTTTCAGGCTCACCGAAGGGTACCCCCCACGACTGGTGTCGTAGAACTATGAAAAAAAAACTATTTTGCAATGAAAACCAATGGAATTGGGTGGTGATCCTCAAAAAAAATGATGAATATTTTCACTTGGGACCTGTATTCTATGTATGTAGTTCTGCAAGGAATTGGGTCTCTTTCATGTAAAAGGGTATATAATATATGTAATTCCCTTTGGGGAGTAGCAACCCTGGACGTCTGAAGTTCCTAAACTACAACGTTTCAACAAAAAAACAGGTCACCCGAAATGACCAGTTTCTTTTTATATTGTATTTAAAAAATAAGTTTTTCAGGCTCACCAAAGGGTACCCCCCACGACTGGTGTCGTAGAACTATGAAAAAAATTACCCAGAACCCAAAAAATGTTCAATCTGCTGGGTTTCACACATGTTTTCGATATGGGAATATCATTATTCCTATGGTATTTGCTTTGGCACTGTTTATGCACTCCAAAATTCTACCCCAAATATTTCTACCCCAAATATTCTAAGTATTTTTTTTTCTGTCCACACCCGTAGGGTTGAAATCGGGCATATTCTATGTATCCCATCGGGATTATATATATATATATGTATACATATATACATTTATATATGGTTATAATATCAATATATAACTGGATATAACCGGGGTTGATATTATGGTAGATATATGGTATCAATGGATATAACATGATATAACTACCTCAGTGTATCTATGTATATCTACCATGAAGCCTACGACTTATTGGAGGACCATCCTTGGCACAATGACCAGGTCATCCTTGGCTCGGCCCAAGCCGGTGACCATGATCCCGCCCATGTTTGGGACATGTTTATTGGGTTTACCATCTGGCTATGACTAACATAGCCAAGGAAAATCACCATTTTTAATGGGTAAACCATCTATAAATGGGCCATCTATACCATGGCTATGTTAAATAACCCGAGGGTACCGTAAATTTACCACGTTAATTTAAATACCAAGTTACCAAGTTCAAAGACTCAATCTTACATCGGGTCCGGGATTTTCATCAAAAATTGTAAACATTATATAGTTGTTCAGCTCCATATGTTGGGGTGACGAACAGAAGCTCCATGTTGTGTTGGTGCTTTCTGAGAAGTGTCAATCGATCAATGGTGTGTCTCCTTGGCTGAACAGTAAATCATGTTCAACATGGTGGCACTGTTGTTTTCCTCAGGGACAGTTGAACTATGTTGTAATTACATGTAATTACTATGTAGTAGATAATCATTACTTTAGTCCATATTCATTTATTTAAGTTGATTGATTTAGTAATTTGTTGTTTTGGTTATGTCCATGGTTCATCATTTTCCACCGATTGTGGTGGCATGAAGTTATCTCAGGTCTCAGCACTTTGTGCAGTTCCAGGGGGTTCTTTTCAGGTGGTTTTTCTATGAAATTTGGCGCAACATCCAATGGCTTCAACATGTTTTTAATGTGTTGGCCCTTTCACATCCATCTTTAGCCGGTGAAAACCTCATGGAATGATAACCCAATAACAAAACCGGCCGATTTTTTGCAGCACTACGGAGAAGCTGCGTAGCTATTCACTATAGTATTGCATGAAGGGAAAGTTCATCCAACATATTCAATGAACAGGACGAACAGGAGATTCAATAATAATTCAATACTATGCCCTTTAATAGTATTCAATCCATGAATATTGCATCATCATTCCCATCATTGATTTCCATGATCAATAATCATTCACAATCCATCAATAGATTCAATATGTTTTCTAATATTTCATGATCATGGAATCCACCAATAATTAATTTGATATTCAATCCACAATTACCCTCTGGTAAATAAACAGTTCGACCCTGAAAATCACCAATTTTTAATGGAACCTAGTCTTCCAACCCCTATCTGCCAGGGTCTATGTTAATTTACCAGAGGGTAATATTTAAAGTTCAGCAAATTGAATAGCACCATTTCATGATCATTGCAGCATCGCCAAGGAGGAGATCCATCAGATTGCAGAGGAAAAAACGGGGCGGATGAGCCTTGGAAATGGGCTGTTTCAAGGGAAAATCATGGGAAAATCATGGGAAATCCCTACAAAAAATGGACATGTTCATGGAAAAGCGAATGATTGGGAGGATTTTAAAAACAATCAATACTCTTCTGTGTCATCAAACAGGGCCGAAATCGGAAATGGGATGATGCATGGAAATGTGAGTGAAAACCTCGATCCTGGCACTGGCGAAATCTGGACAAACCAATTGTGTATGTTCCTAGCAGTTTTCTGATACTTTGAAGACTGTTTGAACAATGGTAATTTCAGGATCCTAAAATGGCGGTACTGTACCATATAAGGCTATATTTTGTGGGGATATTCCCTGAAATTTAGGCCTTACATATGGTAGGTTTTGTTTTTTCGCTTTTATCCAGAGGATCTATGGCATCTATGGGGGCACCAATGGATCTATGGATCCAAAGGTGGTTGTGTTACGGCACAAGG